AAGAATGACTTCATATAGGAAAAACAAATCACATGTAATTATATATTTATATAATTACACAATTCTCTCTGTGCGTGTGTGTGTGTGTGTGTGTGTGTGTGTGGGGGGGGGAGTATGATAGGGGCCAAGATTTCAACATATAGTAAACACACACACACAAACATTTGAGTTTTTTTTCCTCTCCTCTTCTTTATATTTTCCCCATCTCTCTCCCTCCAGTCCTTTTTCCCTCTGGGAATGATGGGAAATGCAGCTGGATATAGCGCCCCTCTGCCCTCCCCCACCCACCCCCCACACACACGCTCTCTCCTATCTCTCCTCTCTCACGTCTGGCACTGAGTGGAAGTAAACAGAGGAGGAGATCGCATTTGGTTCCTGAACTGTTTCAGGGCTCGGTGCAACCACCACACACACTCTTTTGATTTCTCTCTCACACATATGGACAAATACACACACACACAGCACAAAGGGGATCTTGGCAGTAGAGGAGCCTAAAAGTCATTGACCGCCTTTGTCTGCACAGCGTTTGAAGAAGAGAAGAAGAGCAAGAGGTGATAGAGAGGACTGTAAAGAAGAGTGTAAAGACGGTCAAAGGAGTGCATCGCTTTGGGTTTGTTTAAGTCGTTCAATTAAATCAACGGCTGAAAATGGAGAACACGTGAGGGAAAGAGGAGCGAGGGTAAACTTGGGGCAAAAATGCTGCTGGCTAAAGTTTGTGGATATTTCTAGAGGGATTTCGTTTTTTTGCCCTTGAACTTTGAGGAAGAAACGCACAGGGTCGACGGAGGACTGCGAAGAAGGTGAGAACCCAGTCAATGATTTTCAAGCATGAAATGACTTGCCTATTTAGCTCTTTCAAAACTAAACAAAATTGAACTGTCACTTGCTTTTCTGCATTTTTTTAATATTTTTGAGAAGTAAGTTGAGAAGTCACCTTAAACTGATTCTCCCAGCTGATTATCAAATAGAATAGAATAGAATAGCCCTTTATTGTCATTGTACATGTACAACAAAATTGTGAATGCTCTACACCAACTGTGCTGGAATAAAATATTAAATAGTAAGACAGCATGAGTAAATAACAAACATGAAAAATATCAATAATCACGAGGAATTTAGGAGGAAGAAACACAATAGAAGAACAGGTTGCAAAGTGCTTGGAAGTAGTGTAATGCACTTGGTCTGAGTGGAGTCAGTGTGTGATTAGGACAGAATATTGTATGTTAACAGTGGCAATGGCCCAGGGGAAGATGCTGTTTGTGAGTCTGCAGGTGTGGAACCTGATTGACCTGAGGCGACATCGGGAGTGGCAGCGGGTCAAACAGGTGGTGAGCGGGGTGCAAGGGGTCACCTGTGATGGCCCTGGTTTTACTGAGACAGGAGGATCTGGTGATGGGCTCAAGTGATAGCAGAGGGCAGCCAATGGTTTTTTGGGGGGTAGTGTTAATTAGCCTTTGCGTAGCCTTCCTGTTGTTTCCCCTGCATACCAAACACCCAGGGAGTAGGAGAGAGCAGCGAGTGTGTATCACATCGCATTTTATGACAAAAGTCTCCGATAGTGACCTATTTAAAAATGTACTCTGCCCTCTTTTCATTATTGATTTCATAAATGTGTCAGATCAATAGATAAGTCATGTGTTTTAACAGGAACATGCTTTGAGATACTTCTGGGAATTTTTTTTAGACTGTGGGGATTTTTTGGTTTGCTTTTCTCAGTAAAACTACTTCTACCTTATTTGATGTCTGTGCTGTTTCTCTGTTGCTAACACTCTGCTTCCCTCCTGTTCAAAGCCTGTAGGTGGGACGTTGGGTTCTCCAGGAAACATGGCAGCGACCAACCCTTTCTCCTGCCCCTTTTTTCTCTCCTTCCTCTTTTTATTCTCTGTTATCCGGCCAGCCTTCACCCAGGGTCCATCAGTTACAGCTGTGGGAGTATCTGAGGATTCACCTACCACACTGACTAACCAGACAACTACCAGCTATACAGAGACCACCCAAAACACTCCTCCAGAGACAGGACTTTCCACTCCCAACAGTGGTGGAGATACAGATGATGAGGATCTCCCTCCTGTTGGTGGGACACGTTGCCAGGGTTACTATGATGTCATGGGTCAGTGGGACCCACCTTTCAACTGTAACGCCGGTGTCTTCCTGTACTGCTGCGGTACCTGCTTCTACCGTTTCTGCTGCCAGTTCCGTCAGCAGAGCTTGGACCAGAGCATCTGCTCCAACTATGACACTCCCATCTGGGCAAACACTGGCAAACCAGTCGCCACCATTACTGAGGGACAGGGAGACCTGGACCGGGACCGCACGCAACTTATCGTGTACATCATCTGTGGGGTGGTGGCCATCATGGTACTGGTGGGCATCTTTACTAAACTGGGCCTGGAGAAGAGCCGTGGGGGAAGCGGAGGAGGAGTAGGAGGGGCAGCACAGGCCGACCTCAACTCCAGGTGAAGAAGCGTGTGTGTGTGTGTGTGTGTGAGAGAGAGAGAGAGATCCACGGGTTTCCAAATTTCTAGAAAACGCAAATTTATCCCCTAATTAAAACATATGACAAAAGACATGTTTATTCTTTATCGATGGGTCTTTTTTTCTTGTTGTATATGAATACAGATCGTTTGTTGTATTGGAGTAAGCCCAACCACAGACACAGGAGAGGTACTCCTCTCCTTTGGCACTCTGTGCACACCAGCAGGTTAATAACCAAGCAGTAGTCATGAGGGAAAAGGAGGAGGAAGGTTATTCGTGAGGATTCATTTTTCCAGCTTACAGAGGTTATTGTTAGATTGCTAATAAATGAAGACAATGTTCCCAGCCCTTATACTTTATACCTAAAAATCCTCTCAAAACACAGACGCGTGCAAAAACCATTCAGTTACAGTCAAGGGTTAACAAATGCACATTTTGAATATAAGCATTTTTGAATTTAAATGTACATTTGAGCAGGTCACTTCCTCAGACAAATGACACAAACATCCTGAAATTAATAAATGCTGCTTATTTATGGGTTTGCTCTGGCTTACCTTAGCATATTGAGCAGAAAACTCAAAATAGACAAAATGCAGATTTGCATTTATTTATTTAGCAGATTGTTAATTCCAAGTTAGCATTTTGTGTCTTAGTGTCAGACTTTGATTTTTTTACTGGAGGCCTTATAATATGTGAATGTGCTCAAATTAAATTTCAAACCCCGGCAGACATGAATGTTAAATACATAATATTAAGTTGTCCAAAATTTTCCACTTGTGGCAATGATGGCAATAATGTAGGGTCAAATGAATAAGGCCCCCATCACACAGACCTTTGAGACTGGTCTGTGACCCCCTGGTAATTACTGGTCTCCAGGCAAAAATATTGGACTCCCCAATTGCTTTGGTTGCTATCAAATTGTTATGGTCACCCGTACTTTGCATGGAACGTGTCTGTCTGCAAACACTAGCCGAGTATTCTTCAAGCAACATAAAACTGAAAAGTGCAACTAAAATCTGCCTTTAAAGGAAACATTGGGATATCTATTAGTATAATACCCCTTTGCCACTGATTTCATCTACAGCATTTAACCATTGGTTGCATAATGCCCAATATGGTGGACGTGAGTCAAGCAATGTGTGTATCACATGATGTGCAAAATCGCTATACTAGGCTAGGCGCTGCTGAAGAAAGTCCATCTGACCATTTGAAACTGAGTCTGACTTATTTATTAGGAGAGTAATATTAGCTATTTGACAATTTACTGGTATCAACATTTATAATGTTATGATGAAAAATGAAAATTTAAAAGTAAAGAAATGGAGAAATGCCCTCCAACTACAAACTTGGGTCATCTGTCCACCAGAGGGCAACTTCCCCACAAGCATCACAACCAGCTGATCTGAGCAGAGTCAGGCAGAGGGTAAGAGAGTAGATAAATAGAACAAATGCACTTGATACGTTTTAAGAAAATGTGTTTATCCTTTTTTTTTTTAAAGTAACTAAATACTGTATTTTTAAATCACCAAATATTTTTCCTCAAACATCCAATAGACGATGTAGTCTGAAAAGTTATAATGAGTATGGCATGTCCTGGGAAATATCTGCACATGAATGAAGTTCACTTGCAAATATTACCAAAGCTTAATGACATAAGCGAACATCAACAAAAGTTCCCAAAGAACATTTTAACATTCGTTAACTCATCAGTTTTGAATCTGAATCTACTTAATGACGCATCTCATTATTTAAGTGATTACATTTTGTGCAGTAAAAGCACTTTTTATTTCTTGGTTTTTAGAGATGCTGATGTAGGATCCTACAGAGGTTTACAGGGATGTGTTTAGATTAGAATTGGCACTGAACTGGGCCTCCATGGATGGCACTACTGAAAATGACAGTTCTGCTGAAAGAGAATAGCACAGGAAGACGCTTGCAATTGCAGAAATACAATGTCAGTATTATTTGAGAGGTGAAATAGCGTAAACAACATCGCAACAGCACAAAATGGGCACACACAGTGTTAAACTTATCTCGGCTTTGAGGCAACCACCAATGGGAGTGAAGCGAATTGTTGATTGACATAACTGGGGGTTGGTAAACAAACATGAGGGTGGAATGTCAAAAATAGTGACCAGCTGTCAGCTACAAAGTAATGTGCTGTGAGCAAATTGCTTTATATGTGGGTGAGGCTTAATTTTCAGTTTAAAGTCTAAAGTGTCAGCTATGGATGTGAACTAGTTTATTTTCACCTGTGTTAACTAAGCTTTGAGCTAGTGCTTCATCAGTGTACACACCTAAAACTTTACATATTTATTCTTGTTTATTCTCTTGTCTATTCTCAGGGTTCATTTATTTGTTTCTTTTTCAGTTTTTCTTTTATATTTCAGCTCTTTGCGTACTGTTTGCTTTTCTTGTAAGCATGAAACAGAGAAATCAACTTTCTAGTTTTTGAGGGGTTTCTTTTTTGCAGCTAAGCACTTTTAACTTTGTGCGTCTGTGTTAGAATGTCTCATGTGTACAAATGTGTCAGGGTTTTAGAAAGAGCACATGAAGTCACATTTTACACTGTGAATGTGATGCTTTTAAACTGAGTTACTGAAACACAACCTAGAGTTTTAGCTTTTCTCCTGATACAAATGCATTCGTGCATACACTCCAGCTGGAGTATAGAGTTAAATACATGGTTCAAAGTTCAGTCTATTCGCCTCAGGAAATCATTACAGCGCAGCATGGGCTCACATCTCTCTGCTTTCATCCTGAACCAACTCTCTAGCTGCCTCTTCTCATTCTTTTCTCCATAGAGTTTGTTCTTCTTATCTCTCCAGGCTTATTGTTTTTGATCTCATTTTCTTGCTTGAAAATCTGTTTCATCACACGCTATTTGTCCCTCTCATCCTGAATTTCTTCACCACAAATCACTTTGTTTTGGTTCGTAAGAGTCCTCTCCTTCAGCCTTCTTCCACATCTCCTCTGTTCCTTCTTTACCAGGTCAAATGTCCTTCTATCAACCTCTCTTGCTTTTTATCCCCCCTTTCACTCGAAAGGATAAGAAGTGAAACCAGCAGCTACTTTCAGTCACTCTGATCTTCATGCATTCCTCCCCCCTTTTCCATTTTCACTTTGCAAACATCCCATCTCTCCCACATCATTTTTCTCACTTGAATTTTTATTGAGAAGCTAAACATGAGGACAGCTGCACTGGTGCCACCAAAACCTCCATTGACCATCAGTCGTCTTTGTGTGTCTCCAATTAACTCAAACTGCAAAACTCATTCTGCAGATTCCGAACCACTAGGATTAACGTTTTCTGCAGGGTAGCACCTAAACTGAAATAGAAACACTGTGGCTGCATAAACATCCTCCCTCCGTGAGCCCATCTTGACAGATTACTGCTCCCCTTTGAGATTAAACAAATTTCACTGAGATTACAGCTTTACCGTTTTTGGGTTGCTCTGCCTGCTTGCTTGTTTAGTTATTAGCCTGCTGACATAAATCCCTGCTATAAAAGTGTACGTGCAATCCAGGACTTCATATACAGCGCACACACTTCATGAGGTGAGATGCACAAATTCTGCATGCGCTTTAGAGACGGATGTTAGAGCAGCCAAGCACGAAGCAGGACTTTTGCAATCTGCACGTGTGCTGTTGCAGCTCTCAAACTCGTGCTGTGCACCTGCTTCCCACCACAGGTTTCTCTTTCTCTTAACATCCTGCAAGCAGAGGGTGATTAGCGGGCTAAAATCCTAACAGTTTTCCCAAATCACCTTTGAAAGTTAAAATCCAGAGTGATCCTCCTCGCAGACTTCCTTCCCCTCTCCTTACATGCACACACACACACTAAAACCACATTTCGAGTTTGAAAAATGCCTTCAAACTTGTGGGGACCGGGATTTTGTCCCCGTAGCATCGTAAACTTCCAATTTCTGGTCACCACAAAGATATATAAACAAGGACATAGACACACACCTTCTAATACCCCTCGACTCGTTCCAGCCGCACAAGGTTCGGGGTATTTGCAAGCCGCACTAATCCCCAGCCAACAATGGAGAGCGCCTTAGGTCACGCGTGTCGTGTTTAATGAAAGGCTTCAACTGGAGCGGGGCCGGTTGTACACCGTAAACAAACACAAATGACCTTCATGATTTTACGTGTACACGCACACATACACTCACACTCGTCTGGATTTATAGTTCAATTAACAACAAGAATAATAGCGGTGGCATTTGGGTTACATGTGCATGGGTCAGATCACCACAGTGAGAGGTCAGAACAGCCATGAGGCGAGATGCGTTGCAACATAGCGTCCAGCTAGCAAAGTGGGAGAAACCTGGAAACAACATGGTGGAGGTCACATGGTTGGGATGGAGGGCTGTGTTTTTGCACAAGTAAGTACATTAATGAGTGTGTGTGACACAGCGCTCCGGGTGCTCTCAGAAAAGAAAGGAAAAGATTGGGTGGATAGAAAAAGCCTCGCTTCCGAAATCTATTTATATTCTACTAATTTCTAGCAGCTAGCATGTTTCGAAGACAAGACAGCTGTGACCACTGTTAATTAATCTATGTGTCAAGGCACAACAATACTGACAGGAATTTTTAATTTAACGTATGAGTGACTTTTTGTTGCCAAAGTGATTATAAAATATTCATTTAGTCTTAAATAATAGCAGTGGCCAAAAATGCTAGTTTTGTGATGTCTCTCTGGCGTCATTGATCAGAGATAATGTGTCAAATACAGCACTGCACCTACTCTTGTCCCAACACACTGCCAGGACTGAAACAATCAGGGGAACAGTCACAAGATACACACATACACAGAGTTGTTCATTTAAAGATCCATTCATCAGAGACCCATTTATTCATTCATGTATTTTTGAACTGCTTGTCCAGTTCAGGGTCACAGGGACTGGAACCTTGCCCATCTGACTTCAGGCAAGCGGCTGCGTACACCCTGGACAGACTGCCGCTGCAGGGCTAATAC